CTGGATTGCATTTCTTTGTCATATCAGAGCAGGATTGAAGTCAGGTAGAAAGATGGGAGTGTGTGAAGCTTTAGATAAGATGGAATATAACCACAATTTAATGGCACATCAGTTCTTTTTCTCCAGTTCAAATGGAGATTGCATGATGTTACTCTACTAGGTATATCAACATTCATGTTTCTATGTTTGAATTGTACTGTTTGTCAGAAGCTGCTCTTAATAACTTACAGGCAATAATAGATCCTGTTCTATTTTATTTATTTTGATATATAGAACTCATTAAAAATTTTCCCCAAAAGATTACAAGGGAAAAATCCATAACAATACAATGCAGGCTAAAAGTAAATCAGACAACATAAATACAAAATAGCATCACTGAACACAAGGAAGATGACATAAAGAGTAGAAATCAATGATAGAATGCTGGATGGGGTCAAAATAAGGATATTATGTCACAAGCAGGAAGGAATTGTGAATTGAATGAAATAATGGTTTGAAGGAGAAAAACTTTCCCTAGGTTTGCAAAGCTAGGAAGCTTTGGATGTCTTGCCAGTGATACTGAGGCAAAGTTAATATGGTGGAGCCAGTCATTGTTTGCAGTACAGGATCCCACTAAATGAATTAAACTTGCGAAGTGAACATTACTGTAAGTTCCACTGATTCAGTGGGTCTACTTTGGTTGTGACTACGATTAAGACTTAGATTTATTATGGCTAGCCAAAAATGTTTTCAAGTGGGTGTATTTTTTCAGAAAAAAGGATGCTTTATGTTATATGCAGACTAATGGAGGCTAATCACAAATGTCTGTCATTAACACTGCTTGTCTGCCGTTAATGCTGCTAAAGATAACTTGGATGCATGAATACTGCATTTGCTAAATTAGAGGCTACGAATGACATTTAAAATTAAAAGACCACATTTCATTGATGCTGAACTGATTCAACAATTGTTTGTTCAGAATGTTACTTAATGTTTATTAGAAAAAGATTCTCCTCTAATTTCTTAATAACAGACAAATTTCACTTAGTTCAGATTATGCACAACTGTAATAGATCTCAGGAAACTTCACAGAGATCTGTTACACTCGTGCACAGTCTGAATTAATGCCAATCTGTCTTTTAATACTGATTTAAAGAACTCATGGAAAACCATCTGGGCTAGCTCAAATGTTTGAAATACACGCTACTGCTCACAGCTTAATAAGAAGGTTAATATTATGCTAATAAACATAAGCAACAGTTATGTGTAAATATGCCTACCGTAGCATGAATTAATGAATCAAGTGGAAAGGCCTCCGTGTTCTAGAAATATTCAGACTCCGGCCATGAATGCTGCAGGAGCACTTGCGACTTGTTAAAGAGGAAGAGCACACCAGCTCACCAGAATGATATACCAGTACACATTTGTGTCTTAGTTGTGGGTGTTCCAAGGCCAAATATCGAATGTAATGTTGCTGTCATGCCATCCTTCCTTCATGTCAGGAGTAGCACCATTCTACTTACTACGACGTAGCATGTCATTAAGGCAGTCAGTTTGAGGGGCCTCAGCACAGCCCTGGTAAGTGATGGTGGGAAGGAACTTTGGGTGGAAAGGAGCAATTTGAATTCCGGAATAGGAAACCAGCATCTAGCAAGTATCTGTAGAACAAAAAAGGTCTAAATCCAAATGTTAGTCCCTGTCATTGATAACTTCCTAAGTCAACAATAATGCAAACCCCATTGATTCAATGGATCTGCCCAAATTGGGACTGAGAGTTAGATTTCGTTCAGTATGCATAGGTAGCTCTCTTACACATCAGCAATTGAGTAAGGATGGCTGCAGGATGTTGTGGAGGCAGGCCTAGCCAAGGCAAGTTAATGATGTTATTAAGTCAGGTTTTCAACAGGATAGTTGCAACAGATCCAGCATGGCTGCCAACTCCTGAACTCCAAACTGGAACAACTGACAAGGGATGTTTGAACAGGAATGTTGAAGGCCCAACACAGGCCTTAGTGTGAGCTCTACTTATTGCTACCACCAGTAGTGGGCCTACATTTTGGGGGCCCCTGAAGCTTGAACTGTTATGGTGGAGGGGGGGCTTTGCAACCAGCAACAAGGTCTGGGTAGCCACTGTTGCTTTCTTCATTGGGGTTGTTCCACGACAGATCACCACATTAAAAAAAAAAAACGTGGACTAAAGTCACTTCTGCAGCCCTTCCAAGATTAGAGGCCTCGAATCTTCAGCTTCATTAGGTTCACAGTAGATCTGCCACTGGCTACCACAAACACCAGTTGACTTCAAGGTAGAAAGACAGGGGGCAGCTATAGTATTGTTGGAAAGAATTCCTCATATTCATCCCCACTTTCTATGCACAATGACAGCAAATATCATTCTCACCCTGGAACAGGATGGCCTCCTTACAGAGGACAGCTCTTTATTTGAAGCACTATCAGCGGTGACTGTGCTCTGTGTGAAGACAGCCTCTGTGGGTAGAGCTGTCTAGTCCCAACTAAGTTTACAGATGAAGAGCTATAAAAAGGGAAAGCGGGGATTCTGAAGTTGCCTGTCAGCATTTTGCACCTGAAATGCCTCGTTTCCACCTGAGCAAGTAGATGTCACCTCATTATAATCAGATGTAATCCGCTACATTTCTTTCCAAAATCTAGTGATGATTTCTAAATATCTATCAATAATTAACACATAGATTGTTATATTGAAGCCTGTATTCATTTCTCGCTTTCTTCCCATGTACTGTACGTGTCTCTGATAATACATTCCCTCTTGGATGTTGTATAAATAATCACTTATAGCTAGAAAGAGATAGGGGTAACAAAAGCTTCTCAGACAGCCGTGGATGGACATGTAGTCCTTCAATGCAAGGACAGAGCTTAGAACTGTTGCCTTTCAGGACAGCTGTTTCCTGAGTCCTCCCAGGCAGAAGGCCTGTTGCTCTGTGGTCTAGGAGGAAGCCACCCAGTTCCCATTTTTATTTTACTACAGTTTAAACTACAGTTTAATTTTACTACAGTTTAAACTACAGTTTAATGGATCTTCAACTCAGGAAAGAACTGAGTTCTGATGGTATACGGATAAGAAAGGAAAGTATCGGGCTATGTGTGCTGTTCTGGGCCATGAAGTTGCTTCCTGCCCTTACAGAAGTTTAGAAGTATGTTGAATGTTTAAAGAGTGGTTTGCCATTACGACTCCCCACTGAGTTTTTAGAGCCAAACGGAGTTTCGATCCCAACTCCTAGTCCAACACTCCACTGGTTTTCTGAACAGTTTGCCTCAAGAAATAGTCAGCTTCAGTGACACGTGCCATCATGGAGTGTATGTGCATGTTTGTGTATATATATATTTTTCTAAAACAACACAGAGAATTACAGCATGATTCTACAGTTGTGCTTGCAGCAGCTTCTAAGTTTTACAATACAGTATTATTGTAATGCTTAAAGAATTCGACTGGAACGTAGCAGATCTGAGTTCTGTTTCCTGGCGAGCCATGACACTCGCTGAGTAGGCTTGGTTCAATTCACTGTCTCTAAGCATCACAACAGGTCTGTTGTGAGGCTAACAGGTAGAGAGGGAAGAGAGTCATGTATATCCCTCAGAGGCGAAAACCCACTGGGGGAAAATAGTATATAAAGGTTACTTTAAAAAAAAAAAACACTATTAAGACAATTGGTAATTCCCAAGAAAACGAGATTTGACTTCCAAACAGCTTTGAGCTAGAGAGGCAGAATTTCTTCTTTTAAAGCTCTTGCTTGTTGAAATAGATTTTAATATAAAACACATTAAAACCTGCATATCTTTTATAAACGTGCATATGTTATTAACATGTTCATATTTTTGTTAATTTTTTGTTCATTTTATAAAAGGCAAAGCCAGAGAATTATTTTATGACAACTGAGTAAGAGTGACACTGAAAATCATGTGTACAATAATTTCTTCTGAGATCAAAGCAAGGGATCCAACTGTGAAAACTGTTTTCAGCTGCTATTTTTGGCCCTCTTCACTGCCTCTGTTGATGGCGGGAATATTTCCAGTGCTAATATTGTTGGTGCCTTCCTACTACTGGGCTATGAGAGTTGTTACCTAACATTATCCTTTGTCATGCTTACACACCAACCATGGATTAGTGAAAGTCAAGAGTTTCCAACCCTTTTAAACAGATTTCATCTATACCAAAGGATGTTTGCTAGAGAAATTTAGTTAAAATGTTATTGTTGCACCAAAGGGAAACAGACATAATCATCTTTACATCCCTTGCAGTTCTGGGATCAACCCCATCTGTTCCCCAGACAGCCCTTTTATTTTGAAAGGAAATGGACTTGATGTTTCTACAGCTGTTTTGCAGGTTCAGTCCAGGAATCATAAGCTCATTGTTTAAATTGGGACAGTTGTGTTTCAGAAATATTATGAATGGCTGTTCCCTTAACTGATTGAAATATTCTGTTCCTCTTAACTGAAAATGAAGAACTGATAGCCCAGTTCTTTTTCAGAGTTTAAAAATATTACTTTTCAAACAAAACCTAGATTTCCTCAGGCTGGGCTGGGCAAAGAATTCTGGGAGTTGTAGTCCGACAAAATAATTTTTCCAAGTTCTCAGTGTGCAGGTTTTGGGGATTCCCCCCCCCCAGCGACTCATCTTGGCAAATGTGTCTTATGTTTCTGCAATCCCCTCCACTATTTATGAGAGGTTCAAAGAGATGTATTCCAAAAAAGTAACTTTTCCAACAGTTTTGTAAAAACCTATGGTGCCAGTGCTACAACAAAATCTGTTCAGGGCTGCATTTATGGAAGAAAAATGAGAGGAGCAATACAATCTACTGTATGCTGTACTGTATTTTTCATTTAAGTTTTTCCTCTTAAAGTTTGAGTTAATCGTTTGCCATTCTAGCTTTCGGGGTTTTTTTACAAGGGGGAAAATTACAAACTTACAGCCTTGTGTGTTGTTTGGATTTAGTGATTTGAAGCATTACTTTTCCAATAACCTTACTTGCTATCTGAATCTATTGCAGTCTGCCCGAGTATTATGACTATGGTCACGGAACAAGCGAAGATGCTTATGACAGTTATGGTAAGGCCTTTTCTATTTTTGGTGAACATGTGAAGTCAGAAAACGAATCACTCAATGACAACCTAAAATTACTCGTGCATTCTTTCTCTTTTGCTATTGTGGAGACCAGACTAAGCTGATTGATGTCATTCTTAGGTAAAAGATGACTCATGGGACTGAGTCCAGAAAACTAAACAAATCCATTTTGATCAGAGTTTCTCAAAGGCATTAATCACAGCTGTAGATCAATTTTAAACATAGTGGTGAAAATGTTGATCAGAGCCCAAATCAATTTCATAGCAAGGGTTGTCAGTCTTAATGATGTAACAGTAATACTGTATATATCTGATGTCTCATACACTAAAAATTAAAAACACAAAGTGTACTATATCTGAACTCCGGGGTGTTTTATTCATAAGGCTAACTGGGTTGAAGCCTAAGGACCCCACAGGGATTAGGGGCCCCTCAGTTGACAGGGTCAGGCTGTCATGTATAGTGGAGTGAAAGACTGAAGTGCCAGAGGGCCCCCGAAATACCTCAAAACCTAGGAGGCAGCTCATGGGTTAATACAGCCCTGTCTGAACCAATCATTCTTTTCATAAAGTAAGTACATATTCTACTTCTGTTAAATTACGCTTTAAAAAAAATCAATGTGCAGTTTTCTATATCTGAAACTTTGCCTTCAGTTCATAGCACAAATAATTTGAAACTGACCTGATTGTCCTATAAAACAATATCCAGCCCCCTGATTGATTGTTTGATTGATTGTTTGATTGATTGATTGTTTGATTGATTGATTGTTTGATTGATTGTTTGATTGATTGATTGATTGATTGATTGATTGATTGATTGATTGATTGATTGATTGATTGATTGATTGATTTATACCCCGCCTATCTGGTCATTGCGACCACTCTAGGCAGCTTACAACACAAATACATGAACAAATATGTATATATAGAAACGAAATTTTACACAATAAGAAAGATTCTACAAGATGGAGAGAAGACATCATAAATCATAATAGAAAGAGAAGGGGAAGAAAATCAAGGAAAATACTGGAATTCAAGTAGCAGAAAGAGCTTGAACAAGGACCTTGCTCTTGTTGTTAGATGTTACCACACAAAAAGGCTATTTTCCTACCTTGGCTGGGTTACATTTAGTTGTGCATATTTGGTAATAAGTGCACTTTTTTTGCCAGGCCTCACCACAGATCTCTGCATCTTGTTGCAAAGGCCAGAGCCATCCCAATGCTAGTGGCAGCGACGATTCCCAGTCTCCCTCAGTGCAGATGCTGGCTAATTTTTCTGAGTGCTGTAGTACAAAGGATTATATATGTAACCATAATGTTTGGCACTGGCTGATGTTTTTCAGCCACAAATATTTTGCTAGCTGGCTTTCACTTCAGGGCCCTGTGCAGATTCACCCTGCAGAGGAATTTACAGGCAGGATAGTTTCTCCCAATAAAATCAGTGTATAGATCCTTCCAGATCAGAAATATCCATGTACACTTTGGAACTTGTGAAGTATTGAGGGATCACTGGATCAGGATTATAAGTATGAACTTTATTCAGCAGTGTCCACTCACTATAATAGCATCTATCCAGGCCACACAGCCCTAGGCGAGGTCCAAAAATAGAAGCAGGCACCAGTGTTTATTTCCACAGAGAGCTCATGGATTTTAATTAACCATTCAGGTCCAGTCGGTCCAAATACGCTATGTCTCACTACAGGAATAGTTCACCATAACATATTCTGCTGTTAGGAAAATGCATTCCCCATCACCACCACACACTTTGAGGATTGTAGGTAACCTCAGAGGATACAGGCAAGCTGGCCAATACGTTGCAGGGCTTAAGCTCTCCAAGCCTGGTCTCTCTTTCTAGGCTAATTTTATTGCAATAATAACATTTTTAGGTTCTATGGGGCTATTTGCTTCCTATTGATGAATCTATTTGCTTCCTATTGATGAAACACAGTTTTACAAAACGAGTCTCTTCTTATTTGCATTTATACAACAGACAAACACAAACATTTATAACAAAATACTACAGTTCTTCGGCAACAGCACCAATACCAGAGTTGCTTGTAGAATTTGCAAAGTTCAAGTATCCCTTTGATTTCAAAGTCAGACAAAAAACCCAAGATACCTTCCTCAACTGGGTTGGGTATCCATAACACAGGAGAATCTTCAATACTCTAAAATAAACCACCCCTCTAGCACAAGTATATAAAAATTATATCTTGACCAAGTTGGCAAGGGCCTTGGTAGTCCAAGTGGCAACAGCAGATTCGGACTCTTCACCTCTCACACTCTTTCTGAGATTCACATCTCTTACTCAGCCCTGCTCTTTTCTTACTCCCACCCATTTAGGCTGAACCAATATTTCACAGGGCTGTCACTATTTGTATCATGAGGCGTTTTAGTAAATGGTAATGAAAACAACAACAACATTGAGCGGGGGTTACTACTGAGGTTTCATTTCTTTGAGAAGTAGTAGTAGGGCTGACTGCCTTGCATTTTACTTTGAAAAAGGGTTAGAGGGATCAAAATGGATATTTTCTACACATTTTATGATTAGCACACAGATGCAAATGAAAACACACATGGGCCCCGGATCCACTTGCTTAGTTATGCTAACATAACACAAATGGTGTAACTCTTGAGCTTTTTGAACTCTTGAACACCTAGTATTTGAGGAAATTACACAGTATTTTCCTAACTAGGCAGTATTCTGCCCTCAAAATATTGCACATCTGCGTACTAGAGCACTTAAGACCACTGCTTTGAATCAGAGAAGTCTTCATTGTTAGAATAAGGATGAAAAACAGAATAAGAATGGAATCTACATGTTATATATTGCACATCTGCGTACTAGAGCACTTAAAACCACTGCTTTGAATCAGAGTCTTCATTGTTAGAATAAGGATGAGAAACAGAATAAGAATGGAATCTACGTGTTATGTTTGTTATTGCAAGAAAGAGGGCAATCACGTTACCAAAAACTTCAGAAAATATTACAGGTTTGGGGCAAACTGATTTGCATTTTCCCCATTGATCAAACAATGCAATGGGAATTGCAAATTAGCCCAGAGTCATCTCTCCCCAATCCATAGCCTTTCCTCTCCACCAGAGAACCTTCTACTTTAAAAATTTGTGAATCCATTTGAATCAATTCAAGCATGTGATCGCTTGAATCGATGCAGAAAGAGAGGATGTGGAATGTGCACACGCACACCCTCAAATCACCTTCCCTCCTTCCTCCCCACCCCCAAGTGCAACTGCAGCAAGTTTCTGTAGGACCGGTGTGTTGTATTCAGCTATGTCTGTCCACCAAAAGAGAAGACACAACCAGTGGGATCAATCCTTCCTCCCTCTCTCTCTGCATCATGTTTGTGCATACTTCCCAAAAACAGTTCTGGAGGGTTAGGGCCTATCTGGTGAAGATATGAAAGGGACTGCAGGGGAAGGAGATGAAGAGGAATTGCCATTGCACAAAGTGAAGCCTGGTTTTAGGCTATTGGATAGAACCCAAGGGAATTTACTTCTACAACAATGTGCTTAGCATGGGATTGCACCATTAACTTAATTTGCACCTTCCAGAAAGATGGAAGGAATCTTACAAAGAACCATTGTCCTATCCTTTGCCCCACTATATGAAAAATGCCCCCCAAAAAGATAAGTCTACCTTTGTACTCCTGCCTAATTGATCTTGTCTTCCAATCTGTTCATATAATAATTACTCAGGATTCAAATACAAAGCCCCCATGTCTAATTGGGATCCAAATTAATAAAAATGAAATAAGCATTCTGACATACAAAGAGAGATTTTTCCATGGCAAGGATGTATTTTTCTGCTAAGTTCTCCAGGGCCAGTGTGCCAGGAATGTGGACTGTTCCTGAACTTTACAGCTAGCTGTTCTGCCTTAATAAGTGTAATGAGGAACTGAATGCAGTTTTTAGTGATATAGCTAAAGTTTTCATTTGATCTTGGGTTTTACAGAACACCCCATGGAGCGCTTGTCCTCTTTTTCACTCCTGCCCTCTCTCCCATCCTTTTTCTTCATCTTCTCGTAGCCTTCTTAAGAAACGTATCCTTGCCTTTGGAGTTTGAGGGAATAGTCTCCCTATAGGCCAATTAAAACTCCATTCTCCAAAGAGAAATGTAAAGGATAGCTTATTAAATCCTTTGGTAGCTCCCCCTTGACAAATTATTCCAATGAAGGAGTGTGAATAATTTCTGTAGAGAAGCACCTTCACTATGTAGCTGGGTATCTCTGGCAAGAGGAGGCCATATTCTTCTCTGATATTATCAGAATTCAGGATTTTTAGTTATGTGCACCATAGTCCAAGTCCTGGGATTATTACAATCCTGTAAAGCCATAAACTATTATTAGGACTTAGTAGCAATTATTACCTTGTAATTGATTATGAATAGTCCATTTTATCATCAAACTCTGTTCAGGACGTTAGTTTTCCACTTTTTGCCCTTATCAGTTGTTTTTGTGTATACATAAAGACCCGCACCTTTGCACTTTAGGGAAGTGACTACTGTACAATATTAATGTCATATGATAGAAGGATTGGTATTAAGATGTAGAAAACCAGTTTTCCCCTAGTTTATGGCCTATCTGTATAGCATAATCCATTTTTCAAAGTGTCAGAAAAAGGAGTCAGATTTGAGCATATTTGAATGTACAGTTCTGCTTTAGGAGTGGGCAACCTGTAGCCCTCCAGATGTTTTTGGACTAGAACTTACATCATCCCTAACCACTGGCCTTGCTGGTTTCGGTTGACAGGACCCGGGCTTCAACAATATTTGGAGAGCCACAGGTTGCCCACCACTGACCTGGTTCATCTGTTGAGCTCACTGTTCCAATTGTGGGGAGGCCTCAAAATCATCACTGGACGGATACCCACTGATGTTATGGTCTTCTAAATGGTCAATGAAGACTGCTGGGCACAGTTTGAACTTGTGTTGTTTAGAACTGGGATGCTTGGAGCTGAAGAGGGGAACGGG